AACTATCCTCCACTAGCCAAATGGACCAAAGATCACCTGAAAACCCAAGTTATTGGTGAAACTTCTGCAGTTGTTCTTACGAGATCTCAGCAAAAAGCGAAACAAACTGCATTATTCTCTCAAGTAGAATATTGTATGTTTAACTCATTTGTTTCCAAGGTAGAACCCAAAACCGTCAACACTGCTCTTGATCATTCTGATTGGGTGCAAGCGATGCAAGACGAACTCAATGAGTTTGAACGAAACAAAGTTTGGAGACTAATTCCAACTCCACCAGATGCATCGGTTGTAGGTTTAAAGTGGGTGTTTCGCAACAAAATGGACAAAGAAGGGAACGTCATAAGAAACAAGGCAAGACTCGTGGTTAAGGGATATTGTCAAGAAGAAGGCATCGACTATGAAGAAACCTTCGCTCCTGTTGCAAGGTTGGAATCTGTTCGCATCTTCCTGCATACGCAGCACACAAGAACTTTGAGGTGTTTCAGATGGATGTTAAGTGTGCATTCTTGAATGGAGAATTAGAAGAGACAGTATACGTGGAAAAACCATCCTGGGTTCGTAAACGAGAAGTACCCAAATCACTGCTACATCTTAGACAAGGCAGTCTATGGTCTCAAGCAAGCTCCAAGAGCCTGGTATGAAACTCTCACTCGCTTTCTTAAAATGTCTAAATTTAAACAAGGTTCGGTTGACCCAACCTTCTTTCGCAAGAAAGAGGGTGACCACTTGATGATCGTCCAAATCTATGTTGATGACATCATTTTCGGTTCACGAATCCCAGCTTAACAGCTGAATTCTAAAAATTGATGGAAACAAAGTTTGAGATGAGCTCCATGGGTCCAATTAACTTTTTCCTTGGACTGAATATAAGACAGGGACCAGAAGGTATTTTCATAAATCAGGAGGCATACACGAAGACCTTACTGGCAAAATTTGGTATGGTGGGAGACTCTAAAGTGAAGGTTCCAATGGCATTCAGAACGAAACTGACACCATCTCTGGAAAAACCAGCTGCTGATATGACTCTTTATCGTCAAATGATAGGATCATTGATGTATCTAACAACTAGTAGACCAGATATCATGTTTTCCGTTTGTTATTATGCCGGGTTCCAAGCAAATCCACGCGAACCTCATATGGTAGCTATCAAGAATATCTTCAAATACTTGAAACGAACTTCATCACTTGGCATATGGTACCCTGCGAAATCATGTTTCTTTGTACAAGCATTCTCGGATGCCGACCTTCGGTGGATGTAGATTAGATAGAAAAATCACTACCGGAGGATGCCAATTTCTAGATGAAAAACTTGTTAGTTGGAAATCCAAGAAGCAAACATGCGTGTCCTTGTCAACTGCTGAAGCTGAATATATAGTTGTTGCTTCATGTACGTCTCAAGTCATTTGGATTCAAAGTAAACTTCGTGACTATGGCTTAAGCATGAAACGAATCCAACTATATTGTGACTCTGAAAGTGCTATTCGCATTTGTCACAACCCAGTGCAACACTCAAAGACAAAACACATTGCACTGAGGTATCATTTCATCAAGGATCACATAGAAGATGGTAACATTGAAATTCACTTCGTGAGATCTGCTGATCAGTTGGCCCGACATATTCACAAAAGCCTTGCCTGAAACAACCTTCAACAGAATTCTTCAAGGCCTAGGAATGATGGAAGCTGAATCTGTACCGAAACCACCTTCGCTTTAATAAAGTTCTTGACGCGAATCGATGCGAATGATCGTAGAGACTCGTTGACCACTGTTCATTTGTGGTTCGGTCTAACTGATATTTCAAAGCACAAGAAGATCATGAAGGCACAGATTCACGTGATAGGGCAGGTATAGCATTCTTATCTATGTATTAGCTAAGTGTCCCAAGAAGCATGTTGATGTATGTTGTCTAAAGCCTCTATTGACTCAACGTGAAGCCTTAAAGAATCGATTCTACCAATCATTTCTTCCCAATTAGGCTGTTAAATTCACATTAGTCATGAGCTACCTTACTCTTCTCGATTTGAGTTAAGAGTTATCTGCTTGGTCACTTTCGTTTAGCAGAGGTACATTCGCTTCTTTGGACCCCCCTTCACATTTCTCCATTACCTTCATATTCATCGATGTAACCCTTGAGACTCTCAGCTATACCACTGAGGTTTATGGTTGCACAACATCTGTGTTAATGATCTTAGTGTCGTTCACCATGAACTGAGTGAAACCCCAAATTCAACACACTTACATGAATTAACAGTGAACAATTAACTGTTCTAGATTTTCACCATTGAATTAACGAAAGCCACTTTCATGGTATGTATCAGGAAATCTCTTTTTCTTTTGTGAGATCTTTATGAAGTGTTCTGGTTCTAATATACTTCTTCCCATAAGATCCAATTTTTTTTTTTGAGATTTCATAAACTTAATCCAGTTACTAAAATAATTCCTCACTTACTCGTTCAACTGACTACACTGGTCACACGAGTACTTCATCCAACATTCATTCTTATGTCAAGTTCGTTGTTTGGTTGGAGAGTAAGCCACCCATTGAGCCTAATTAAAAGATGCCTTTCAATGTTTCTTGTCAAACAGTTGATCGTATTTCAACGGGAAACCACACAGACACTTCTTAATCTCTCTTGATTTTGAAGGAAGAGATCGTTGCCCGGGATCTTTTGTTTCGTGACTTTTAAGACATCACTAAAATCCCACAGATAAATTTTGTTTTATTTCTTTTTCTTTGGCACACTTTCACTCGAATATATCTTTGATTTTCCTAAAGTCTTGCTTGTGGTAGTTATGGCATTTTCAGTTTCGCAGATTCAATGATAGTCACTCTTAAATGCGAACGGTTGTATGGTTATTTATTGCAACGAATTCAGTTTGAAAGGATGAGAACAAGATAATGATGATGCGGCTGTTGGTGGATAAAAGTTTGAATTTTAGGGGCGTGGAATTTGAAACGCTTCCAGTTATCATGCCGCCTGACACCTTTACCTGGGCTACAGTTGTCAAATCTCGCTTTTTCAGGCGTCGTTTCAAAAGAAATCACTCAATTGATTATCTCTCCTACATAATCGTATAAAAGGATTTTTGATGCACGCCTTACCTTTTACCACTCTCAAATTCTCTCAAGAACACTAAACGGCGATTTCTCTCTATTGTTCTTCTTCTACATCAACTGCAACAATGGCCGATTCTCCGTCTGTTCATGATCAAACTGCACAGTCCTCACTGCTTTCCATCAAACAACATCAAAACCTGCTTCTTGATCTGTCTCCATTCAAGTACGACTCATACATGTTTGCCTATCATCGAATGCATGAAGTATTCCCCTCTGTTCACTGCTTTAACTAAAGTGGAGTGTGTTCCAATGTCTCTACTTTCAAAGGCTTATTCTTCTGCATCGTACATCAAGGAAGAAGAACACATCACCTTTTGACATCTCTGACAAGAAAACCTCGATCACCAAGTCACGGTTCTGCTCTCTACTAGGGCTTGCTTCTGATGACTCCATGGTGAATCCAGAATCAATCTTCGTTGCTGCTATTTTCGAGATGTTCTATGAGATGGGATATAAGGAAATCATCCCATCCATCTCCAAGCTCAAGAAAACCAACTTGCCTCCTCAATGGAATGGTTTGTTCACTCTTCTCTTCAAAGCTTTTTCTGAAAGAGTCACAGGTTCAGATTGTGCTAGTAAGCAGTTCATGACCTTGATGTATGGTCTCTACTACGGCATCAACCTTGACTATGGCACTGTTATGTGGGCTCAACTGGTGCAAAGTACTCACTCCACGAATCGGCACAGTGAGATTTCCTATGCTCATTTATGGACTATTGTTGTTCAACGAGCAATCGACAAATACCAAATTCAGATGATGAAGGATTCATTGATGTCTTCGATTGCTACTTTTCACACCACCAAGATAATTATCTCTGACAACTCAAAGTTCGCTTTTGTTGGCTCCATTTCAGAGACCATGTTTCATTTTGTTGCAGCTACAAGCAAGATCTTAGAGGAATACAAAAAGCTTCCATCTTCAGGAGCTCGCCCCATTACTACTGAGATGCGTCTATCCATTGATGAAGCTGACAAAGTGAAAAAGGGGGGTAAGCCAAAGCAACCGAAAGAGGGTCCTTCTGAGCCAGCTGCGACTCCAAAGAAGCGAAAAGCGAAAACTGCTCCTTCAGCAGCTCAACCCAAAAGGCGAAAACAGCCCGCTCGAAAGCGAAAGACCCCTACACCAAGTGCAAGCGAAGGTTCAGAATCAGACACTCAGTCTGACGTTCGCACTAAGGAGGATAATCCTGTTCAAAATGAGGAAGTTCACAATGAAGAAGTTCGCAACGAGGAAGAAATCCTTCACAATACAGAGAACACATCCAATCCTGAGGTAACTCAACCTATTAATGTATTTGTTCCTTCTCCACCTCCTTCACCTAAAACCACCTCTATCCCCATCAGAATTGCTCCATGCCCTCCACCCGTTTCTACACAACCACAAACAAGCATTCATCTCCCCATCCCCATTGTTCACTGATTGAACAGTTCCTCATACTACCTCTATATTACTTTTTGTTTCAGTCAACGTATATGATACGAGGGCTACAACTTTAGGTTTCTCCACTCATGTTTATCCTCCCATTTCCCCAATTAATCGAAATGACCCATATATGGTCTTCGGTGATGATAAAGATGAAGACCTTGGAGGCTTTACTTACAGTCCTTTTCAAATTCGAATTGAGAGTGAAGATGAGGTGCAACTTACGAAAGGGCAGCTTCAGTCTCTTCATGAAAATATGGACAAATTAATTCTCTCTGCCAACGCCTCCTCTTCTGATGCCTATGCTAAAGCCATGATAATATATATATATTTGAACGAATCTCAAAGGAGCATATAGCCAATGCTGAAAAGATGAACAAGGTTGTGGCTGATTCGGCTGAAGTTTGCAAGTCTACGACCGAAAAAGTCGATAAACTAATTGATGACTCCACTGCTTTCATGGAGAAATTTCAAACCACTTACAACCCCAATACTACTACTACAAATGAAGCCATGAAGAGTCTGGGAAATCTCTTCAAAAATGAGAAGACAAAGTTGCAAGAGATTCACACTGGTCTGAAAACTGACCATGAAGCGTTTCAAACCTCTGTTTCGTCTCAAATCTCAAAGCTTCAAGAAGAACTGGAAAAGGAGAGTGCTCTCAAGGAAACTCTTGCTATCAAGACCGAAGAAGTCAAGGAGTTAGGTGTCAAGTTGAACACTTCGGAGAACAGGTCAATGATCTGTTATCTGAGAGGGCAGTCATGCGAAGCTGTATCACTGTTTTTACTAGCATGCTCTCAGATATCATTAAGACCAGGGACTCCATGATCACCATCACCATGCGAAAGCATCTGGCAGAAAAGTTGAGGCCAGTCTTTGCAATGCTTTACCGACTTGAAGGTTTTTCATATCAAAGCATTAATCAGAAACAAGGGGGAGAAGGTGTATCTGGTGGATCACGAAAAGAAGAACCCAAAGCTCCAGTCAAGCCTGTTGTCAAGCAGGAACCAAAGGGTAAGGAAAAACTGTTCAGTAATGACCCTATTATTGACAATGAAGAAGAAGAAGAGCCTGATGAACAAGAACTACAAAGACGTAAAGCTCGTGAAGTCGAAATGGATGAGCACCAACGAATCATCTGAGAGGCGGAAGAAAAACAAAGGGCTGAGAAAGAGGCTCAGGCAACTCTTCAGAGCAAAAAGCTCTTGTTTCCCAAATGGACTTTGAAACGAATCCAGCGTGATACTGTTGATCTTCCAAGCTAGTATTGGTTAGAGCCAATTGTGTCTTTTGATCTTCAAAATACACAAGATTCACAATTGGATCTACCAATCACTACTAAGGCTTTCAGGTTTTGTTCCTTTGTGAAAGTGGTGAACGTTCCATATACTGACAGCGGGGCTGATCATATGATATTCTCGTTTTATCTGAAGCATATGAAGCCGCAATACGAGACATGGTCGTTAAGCAAGATTACTGGTGTTAAAGTCACAAGGCCTATCAAGACGGACAGCTTTCCGAACGCAAAGTTCAAAGTTGTAAGGGGATCAACCAGTCAATGCCACAAATTTACTCTTGCTGATTTGCCCTGTCTCAACCCCAATGACTGGTTCGCTCTTTACAACCTGCTGATGAAGGACAAAGAAAAATACGAACCTGTCATGTCTCATCTTCAAATCATGATCAATTCTTACATCCAAGAGATTGGGGACATGGACGTGGAGATTGCGGCGGTGTTGCGAAAGAAGCCTATTGTTGTTCTCAAGGAATCTCCAAAAGATTTTGAGAAGCTGAAGCTGGGGAAGATCTATAGCAACGAATGGTATGTGGTGTATCAGGCTAGGCAACGAACCGGTGCAGACTATCGTAGAGGTTGTTTCTTCCTTTCCGACAAACACTTGTTCACTACCAAATTTCTTGAGTATATATTGGATTTGGTGAAGCGATTAAGGGGTAACAGCAAGGATGATGTCAAGTGCTTCTCTGATATGATTTTATGGTATCTGGAAGTTCGTCAGACCATATTTGGCATCATTCCAAAGGTGTATGAAGTTCAAAAGCGAATCCAAGGCTGATGGGTTCGTGCCTATATTGACGCAAGGGGGAGATTGTTGGGTATTTAGTGTTGCGTTATTGGGCCTTTTGTTTAGTTGTTTTGTGTTACGAGATGGGCCTGTCCGCTCGTTATTTATTCTAGGGTTAGAGTATTTAAGATGCATGCATGCATCGTATTTTAGTTAAGTATTATCTTTTGCTTTGTAACCCTAAACACGCCTCTACAGTAGCAATTCTTCATAGAGTTCTTTTGAGGCGTGACGTTTAATCATTCGATGTTCTTGATTCATCATCGTGTTCTTTATTTTATCAGTTCTAGAATCTATTCGATCTTTAAGGTTTTATTCTTAACACTGACTTTCTGGGAGTTTAGAGCTTGCGGAGCTCCCGATTACCATGGGGCTCGGGACCCCATTGCTAGCAGCAAATGGTTGGCGGATGTCGCCAATTCTTTTCGTACGAGTCGTTGTCCCGAGGGGGACAAGGTCCGACTTACCTACTGTCTTCTGAAGGACAAAGCACAGGATTGGTAGGAGGAGGTAGCCATGCTATTGAAGATGATAACGCGTTGGACGCGATGACATGGAGCGATTTCTCAGCCAGGTTCAAGGCCAAGTTTACACCGGTGATTGAGGTGCATCAGTTAGCACGGGAGTTCCAGGATCTCCAGCAGACGACGGAGACGGTGGTGGAGATCACCGCCAAGTTCATGGAGAGGGCCCTTCTTGTCCCGCAGTATGTGGCGGACGAGGAGATGAAGAAGGCCCACTATCAAGAGATGCTGAGGAGTGATATCAGACAGTTTGTGAGCAGGTCCGACTGTAAGACGTTGGAGGATATGATCGCTCGAGCTAGAGAGGAGGAGATTGATTTGGAGTTAGAAAGGAAGTGGAAGTCGGATGAGACACAGGCAACAGAGGGTTCGGGCAAGAGGCCCAAGAGGTCAGATTCGAGATCGAGAGACTTTCAGGGCCGCAGCCAATGTGGTAAATACGGCAGGACACACGAGGGTGCCTGTAGGAGCGGCAGTGGTGGTGTTTCGGGCTGCTTCAAGTGCGGCCGGACTGGTCACTATAGCAGAGATTGTACTGCTACCACCACCCAGGGATCTGACCTTATCTGTTTTCATTGTAGTTAGCGGGGCCACAAGAAGGCCCAATGTCCGAGTTTGGTTACTGCGGGACAGGTGATAGCACCTGTCCCTGCTACGTTGAGGATCACCAATGGCCGTCAGGGCCGAGCAGAGCCGCCTGCGGTGAGAAGCAGGGCTTTCCAGTTATCCACAGTGGAGGCGCGGGCAGCTTCTGATGTTGCAGGTGCGTATCTTCGCTTTCCTGTCATCTTCTACTTATGATTTTATTGTTATGATATTGTGTCGATGATAGTAGAAGTACTTCTGATTTTATTCCATGTTTATGATTGAGTCATATGCCATCTGCATGCCATGGGTTTTAGAGTAGTGGGTCGAAGGCTTTTCCGTTTTGAGCAAGTTCTTTGGATGCGGTCGTTGTAGCAAGGATGATTGGAACTCGGGAGATATTCTGCTAGTCTTCGGGTAATTACATGGGTTTTGTATTGGTGAGTTTTGGATCACTAGCAGTGGTGAGCATTGGATTTCCAGTAGATTGAGCATTGAGTGGTAAGAAGGATTGAGAGTCCTTTCCGAGCTGTAAGGAGCTAGTCAAACTGAAGTGGGGGAGAACCTTCAAGTATTCAGGAGCAGATAGTGCGAACTAGGATGAATTCACAACCTTCGAGGAAAAAGGAAAGCAGCCCAAGTGGATGTGTGAGTAGAGGAGTGCATGAGTTGGGAGCTGGGAAACTTCGCAACGTTGAGTTCGTGTTTTCGCGATTGTAGATGGCTGGTTTGGGAAACCAGGTTGGAGGATCACCAGCAGGACTCGTGTGAGTCAGGATGTAGACTGCGTTAACGTCCGACATGGAATGTTTTCGGATTGATAGTCAGTGGTTGAAATAGCATGGATAGTGTTGTAAGACCGCGGGGTAGTTGCAGTATTTACTAGCGACTAGTTAGCGGAGTGTGGGCGAGGGCCCGTATCTCCTAGTTAGTGGAGTGTGGGCGAGGCCCGTATCTCCTAGTTGGCATGATAGGGATCAGGAAGGGATAGTTCGCTGAGTTTCGGAATGGAGTTGGATCAGAGTAGCCCTAGATAGGTGAGACCTGTGGGAGAGGCCGCTCCGAAATAGACTTGGGTGAGACCCGTGGGCGAGGCCCGTACGCTAATAGCAATGCAGGTGGGAACTGGTAGAGACATTTGGGTCAAGGTAGGGGATCGGGGAACCTAAGATTTATAGAGCCAGTGTGGAAATGTAGAAAGAGTAGTTTAGATGGCAGTAGTTTCGAGAGTCGTTGGGAGCGACTGAGAAGGTGTTCGTTGGCTCAGCAACCGGGATGGAATCTGGTATTCCAGATAGTGGACAGATAAGTTCGGACCTGGGAGGTCCCGGTTCATTTGGAAAGTAGGCAAGAGGCAGTGTAATGTTCGGGCAGAAGTGATGATCATGAGGGTTCTATTGTGTGGGGTAGCTTGCGGATCAGCAGAGCGAAGACACTTACAGTAGACTTGGATAATCTCATAGTAAATGGTTTGACCTTGTTGCACAGCTCTTGTATGAGTCTAACCGTGGTAAGGATGAATCCTCTACTCGAAGGATTATCTGAACCTTTTGTCAAGTATAATTGACCGGCAGATGATTATGCAGGAGCAGTCTGTCAGGGAGACAGACCAATATGGGATTCAGACTCTGGGAAGGCAGAAGTCGTTTGCGGAAGCTCGAAATTCGTTTTCTTCGGGATGGAAAATCGGTTTGTTTTTCAGTTGTTTTGGGAAGACTGTCTTACGCGTAGAATCATCGGTTGTGTTTCTCAGATCAATTGTTAGGAGATGGGTGTTAGAAAGGAGAGATTTTGAGGATGAAATCTAATTTAAGTGGGGGAGAGTTGTAACACCTGGTTCTGAAAGTGCTTCGTTGCTAGAGGCTGCGGCCCAATCATTGGTTGGCATGGGGTTATGGCCTTGGGAAAGGAAGGATTTGGCCCATTCGGATATGGGTATTAGGGTATACGATACCCAAGTGTTTGATTATGGCTTCGGAGGCCAAGGGCATGCTCGTAATTTGACATCTCAGTCTTCTAGGGATTTCGGGTTCTTGGTCGGGAAGTTTTAGGTAATGAGCAGTTGCTAGTAGCGTAGGGCTTCTCGCCACCTTTTCGTGGATATAAGATTTGTCGGAAACGGACCTCGTATGAGGAAGATATGACACTTTGAAGTTATTGACAATTTTAGTCCCTAATGAAGATTTGTGGCAAGGTAGTCCCATGCATGCATGGAATGCATGCGTGTGTTTAGCTGGGTACGCCTAGCGTATAAGGTCATATGGACGTGGGTGAGGAGAGGCGTACGCCCAGCGTATGTTTAGAGTTCCTTAACACTAATTTTAGGGTTAAGCCCTATATAAAGAACACTATACCCTCAAGGATCAGCCTCCAATTCCACCCTAAAGAGATACTACGAAACCCTAAACCTTCTTTGAGTGTTCTTAGAGCTTAGGAGGCCATTGGAGAGCATTTTGGTGTTGTGGATCCATTTTCCAAGCAAGAAAGGAGCATAACAAGGTGGTGGTTCAAAGGAGAGGTTGTAGATCTGGGATTGTTGCTTCATTTTTGACCATTTCAAGGTATAAAGATCTAAACTTAGTGGTTACTTCCTTAGATCTCTTAGGTTGAGTTTTTGGACCATTTTGGTCCAAAGGATGAAGCTTTATGGTTCAAATCTGATTTCTAGGCTTAGAGTGGCCACTCTCATTGCTAAATGAGTCCTTAAGGCAGAAAGTTGCCATCTTGAATGTCCTAATGAGTTCATGCATGAGATCTAGCCAATTCTATGGAAGTTTGTTGCTATATTCCAAGTTTGGGTTCATTTGGTGGGTTGCAAGCCCCAAGTAATCGACTTTATGGATTAACACGTTGAAAAGGACTTGAATCTGTGATTGTAGCTTCTGGATTAGAGTATTAAGCACTTAATGGGAAAAGTGACTTAACAGAGAAGTACGATGAGCGTACACA